CAGGGTCCTGGGTTCGAGCCCCTCATCGGGCTCCCTGCTCAGCGGGAAGCCTGCTTCTCCCTCTCCAACTCCCCCTGCTTGTGTTCTCTCTCTCGCTGTGTCTCTCTGTCAAATAAATAAATAAAATCTTAAAAAAAAAAAAAGAAATTTATTTCTTCACCTTGAATAATCACAACGCAGTCATTCCACTCAAAATTTTATGGTGACCTAGGTCCCCCAATAATAGTCCCTCACTAGTTGGTATTGGTGTGGTAAGCACAAAAGGAAAGGAGCCCTGTTTCTGTAACTAGTATCCCAGGAAGGGAAAGGACCATGTTCCAACTGAGCCATTCCTGTCCTATCAAGGATACAGCTGATACTAAGAGAAGAAGAAAGGATGGATACATTTCTCAGCTTGATTTCATGACCATGTACTGTTACGAACGCCCCATTATCTATTATGATTTTTTATGCACAAGCACAGACTTAAAGATTTTCCAGGTGATGGTTTTGCCCTTATTTCCCTGCACTCTGCACCTCCTTTGATGTCTGAGATGGGGGTTGGGGGAAGGTGATGAGCACGAAGGAGAGCAGACAGCTGGCCATCCCCAGATGGGGATGCCACATCAGGTTAGCTAATGAAGAGTCACTATGGACAGAAAATTAGTATTTTCAAAGGAAAAATTTTGAACGGTATCACAGAGTGTGGGATTTAGGGGCAGCAATCATAGTGTGATGATAACTCAAGGAGAGATACTATTCGGATACTGGAATGAAGGAAAGGAATGTTCCAATTGATTTGAGAGCTATTGAGTGTGGTCTATACTGATCATATACCATTTTCAGATATGAGCTAGTGTATGAAGATTGTAGGGAAAAAGTGAGTGTTTTAGTGGGGTTTTTTTTTTTTTGGTAAATTTATTCCACAGCACGATGATGGCATGAAAAAATTAATACTTATTCATCCTAGTTCAGTTTCGAGATCCATCTATAGTCCCAGGGTGGAGGAAGACAGTTTTCACCTAAGAAATATTAGTTTTAGACAGGGAGACTGGCTTTTTAACTAATTATACCATAGATACCGGGCTAAAGGAAATACGAGAGTATTTCTGAATTATTAGAATAGCTATTCACTTTTAAAGACTCTTTTGGTCCATCTCTAGAAATTACCATAAAAATCATTTAATTTGAAGTCAGCTTTGAAGATTCCAAGAATGTGTTACTGATCAGTTTAATTTAGAATGAAAGCTCTGCAAGTAGAATTTTCACTGAATTTTTTAAAAGAATTGTCTTTGTTTTTTTTCTATATTTTATACTATTTATTATAGGCCATTCACTAACTCAAGAAGCATTTATTGGATTGCCTAACATGTGTAATGCATTCTACTAGGCCCTGGAGTATACGCAAAGATATAGAAGACCGAGTTCCTCACTGAAGGTGCTCACAGTGAGAGAAGATATGAAGAAATGTGAGTTTGAAGCCAACGGAAAAGTTACAAGATGTTCTAATGTGCACATAAGAATAAGCACATAGCTTTTCCCTTTCGGCCAGTGTCCACACAGAATATTTTATTAATGGACAAAAGGAGTAAAATGTATGGATATACTCCCTGAATATTTCCCAAGTCCTGGTCCTATTTCTTACTTTGGTAGTCACCTAGAAATTTTAGCATTGGGTAGAAGGGTACTGTCTCCTTTTGGGAGAGCATAGAGAGTGCCGGATGCCATATAAGAAGACTTAATGGGGGCGCCTGGGTGGCTCAGTTGGTTAAACGACTGCCTTCGGCTCAGGTCATGATCCTGGAGTCCCAGGATCGAGTCCCGCATCGGGCTCCCTGCTCGGC